TCCCAGGCTGTCGCATAAACGCCATCCCTGTGCTTTGTTGTTTTGTATTTTTTTTTTTCTTCTAATCTTGAACAGAACAAAGGGACAACACAAACAAATATTCTTTTTTTCCATGGGGAAAAAAAGATTAGGCAACTCAAGTCACAGAATTTTCTGTGCAGCAAAATCTTAAGGGTGTTGAATAGCTTATTCATCCGTGTTCTTCCTTTCTAAGAGAGAGTCATCTCAAATAAGTAATCTAATAAATAATTCAGATAATTTAACTAGCTATTTTAATATGATCAGTGTTATATCACACACTGTATTTCTTCCCAGCTGTTAAGTGTGGGAATGGTATTCACCATAAATGTTGTCTCCTCAGGCCTGTATATTTGTATATTCATAGAATTCCTGGTGTGCATCTTCTGTTAAGTGGTGCAAATAGCTATGAAAGCAACAGTGGCTTGCTCACAGAAAGCTTTGCACATGCTTTGGTTTTTCCTTTTTAAAAGGCTTTGTGATTTCACAGATTTAAAACACAAAAAACAAAAACCCACACACAAGAAAGGTTGCTTTTTCTTGCAGCTTCCTCCAAAACAAATTGTGGAAAAAATGCAGCTTAAAGCCCCAATTAAAAAGCCTTCACTGAACCAAGCCAAATGGAACACCTCTAAACCTGTGGGTCTCGTATTCTACCATAAAACTGCTAAGTTAAAATAGAGGATAAGCAAAGAAAATAAAGCTAAGAATACTCGGTGTGGCAAAATAGAAACTTTTCTGTGCACAAGAGAGGCAGGGCCTGTAAACAGTTAAGAAGAAAAAAGCCTTTTTGTATTTCACCTTCCTCCTAGGCTCCTGTAATCCATGCCAACACACTGAGCCTTCTACTGTTACTTTGTTAGGCAGCAGGGTGAGAATGTGACAGTAAAACAGATGACCGGACATCCCATACTAGCTGCCCTTAATAGCAAAGTATTTTGTTTCACAGACCTGTTATGATAAACCAGCTCTAGGTACTGCTGAACAGATGACTAGCAAAGACCTCAAAATAAAATGCTGTTACTTCTATAAGAAATGCAAAGCAATGAAGAAAGAACCAGTTTACCTGCTTACTTTGATCATTTTAATATTATTCAGTCAGCAATATAACTTGAATTATACAGTTTTGTTTGTTTGTGTACTTGCTTTGCAGATTTGTTAGAAAAAGCAACACAGTAAGTGTTAGCAGTTCATGTTTCATAAGTGTTTTACAAGGAACCCCTCGTGAGGTTCAGCATCTTTCAACTGTATGCTGAGGCATACAGCTCTAAACAGAACACTTCACTTTTCTTGGCCAACAGAGCAAGCTCACACGTGGCGTAAGTGAGCAGAACTTCTCCAGTTTTGATGCACTAACATGAAGGCAACTGTGCCAATTTATGCTAACTCTGATCGCGGCCCAGTGAGAAAAACAGCTCGGCAGCACTCTGACACTGGCCTGTTTCTCTATGGAGATGATGGCTGCGTAACAACTAATTACAGATGCAATCAGGATCAGAATAGTCTAGTATAAATTAGGCCCAATTATCGAAGTAACACCCCCATTGACTTCAGCCTTGGGATCATATGAACCAAGTCAAAGAGAGCACTTCACAAAGAACTTGTTTTTCTAACATGCTCAGTGAACTCTCTTTTGTATATTCAGGTGCATGTCTTCCCCTCTCAGCTGCTCTGTGCAACAGAGAGCCTGGGTGCTTCCAAAGGAGGTAGAAAAGGAACACTCTCACCGTGACACTGCTTTGTCCTTCTAGCATTCTGATCCCCAGCTACACAAAGCCAGTCAGCCTGCATCCCATTCTTAGCAGGCTTAGAGATGCTCATGTCTGAGCTAGAACATTGTATTGTTCACTCCCAGAACCATACATCAAGATCTATTTCTGATAGTAATACTGTTTGCATATAATTAGGAAAGCAATCAAACAAACAGATAAAAAATATTGCAAGAAGTAGAAAAGCTTAGAAGTATTTGCCTGTGAATTCTAACCATGGAAAAAAGAAATTTAACTGTGGAGTATACACGTTGTGCCTGGTCACAGGTTGCAAACAAAAGGGAGAAAGAGGATGGAAAAAAGGATCTTCTCAAGCTTTGTAGTCACTAAATTTGCTCTCTGTCCTCCCTTGCAACGGTGAAAAAAAATGCAAAGAATAATGATTGCTGTAAGTACAAAATACACAATACTTGCCTTCATCCTGTGAGCTAATACAATAATTGTGTTACAATAAAAATACAGGTAATGTGAGGTGATGAGCATCTTGCAACCAATTAATGTTGTTCAAGTAGAAACCTTCTTTTCTCCTGAACGACACAGTGTTATCATAAAAATGAACGATGCCACTAAGAAGCAGCACTGATTCAGAATTAATGACTTTGACCAATGTATTTTTCTTATTAGTGTTATTTGCTACAGCAAATTTCAAGGAACACTGTTTAGATTCATGTTTCATTTCAAGATATTCATCACTCTAAACCATGAAAGAAAAGCATGAATGGTATCAACAGAGAGAACTGGATTATACACTTCTGTCAAGATAGTACCAGCTTCAGCTGCTGTTAAAATGAAATAGTGGAAAATAAAATCTCTTCATTTTTTTTCTGAGAGGAATAAAAATTAGAAAGATCTTGTTCCCTGAGTAAAAAATGATTTGTTTTTCTCCTATTATTCTAAAGTATTTATAAGAACAGTGGGAAAATCCGAAGGATTATAACATCAGTATTTGGAGTGAAGGAATACATTAAATAAGCTGAAAGCTTTTGACATGGGAAGATGCTACTTCTGCTGAGTTTTCAGAAGATGTGATTAGAGCATGCCAGTGGCCAGGAATGCAGATAATAATACTCCCTACTATGTGCCAGAAAATTCAAGCTGCTAGGGACAGAGAAGTCATGATTGTGAAGACCAAAATATAATTTTTTATATTGTGCCATATAAACAGCAGCAGGCACGAATTAATAATTTTATTTCTTGTATTTGGGAATAAATTACTTATTGAGTTATTAAAAAACATACACTAAAAATTTGCCTATATTAAAACATCTTACAACATATGCACGCAGCAAAAGTAATGATTACTTGTCAGATATCAATTTTAAAACATAAACACTCTTTCTTTGTAAAAACACTCCATTCCAGATGCAGTGATTTATTCAGTTATGATAATAAATCACTTTATACCAGTTAGCATTAGCCATAAACTAGGAGGTCAAATGAAACTGCTTGTTTTAAAATACTAATTTCCTCCATCATCTAGAAAAAAAATTCTTAGAACAGAATTTTCCCTCTGAAAATATCAGCATCTTTGTACCAAAATACCCAACCCAGAAACTGTGACAGCTGAATTATAAACTGATCTCGGTTTTCTGTTGTAAATCTAGTTTTAACTGATCTTAGACAACATCTGAAATCCCCTGAATTGTCAGGGCATCACTGAATCAGTACCTTGCAGTCAAGCTTTGCTTAAATCGCAAAACTGGTAGAAACCTTGAAGTGCAGACACTTCTTACCATCCCATATCCAGCCCTTAAGATGGAAGTGTAAACAAGGATCTGCTTGGGACAGTGTTCCAGAAAGCTGGGAGCTTCATGATTTACCCTTGGCGAAAAGGCTGAAAGACTGGCAAATACTCCAGAATAATACTGTGCCTGCTAGAAAATGGTGAAGTGCTTTACTTAGAAATATGTGATCTCTGCACAGTACACCTCCTTTTCCCTTCCCTTGTAGATAAAAACCCAACACAGATCTACGTAGCCAGAATAAAAGCTTAGAGAAAGTGTGTGCAGTGGGAGGAGTTCCTGGTAGGCAGCCTATGCTCTTACAAGCCATCCAGAAGCGTATATGATGATATTCACGTCCTAGGAGCAGTTAGGGTCATGAGAGGTACCAGCAAAGGAGGAGAATGGAATCAAGAAGAGCAAACTAGGTGAAAGACAGAGAGACGCTCAGTTTATTCATCTTGCTTTCTACCCAGACCTGAAAAAACTTTGTACAAAATTAGTAATTTACTGAAATGGCAAAAATATCCAGTGCGTCTGTTCTACATAAGAACCAAGAGGTATTTTAATTCCTTCATAAACAAAACAATTGGATCATTGTTAAATGACTAAACTTGTCTGAGAGTTAATTACAGAGTGCCATGAAAGAACACATGGTATCGAGGTGCTCGTTCTGTTTCTCCTTACCCACGCTAAGTGAATGGAATAGCTGCAACATCTTAAAAGAAATATCATTACTAATTACTTTGCTTTGGTTAATCTTTACATCAGAAGCAACAATTGGCTCTATCTAGCAGCAGCTGAGTAGATGATCTGAATGTTTTCTTATAAAGGTGACTGACAGTGTTTCCACATGCAGGGAGAAATCAATACTGTTGAAAATTGTTTGGCAAAAAGAGAACTTGAAATCTTCTGTAACCAGCAGATTTCTGGAGGACATGTACCTGAAATGCCACACTGCCCTGTTTGCCCTATAGCTACCCGCTCATCTCCGGTTGGGAACACCTATCTAAGTCTTACAGCCCAACAGAGGAGAAAGGCTCAGCGAGGACTGAAGGAGAACAAACGGACCGACAGTGGTGCAGGTGCATCAGAGCTCAGCGACAAACCGCGCTCTAAGGCGAGTTCGCAGCAGAGCATTCGCAGGTGCTGCAGACGGAAGGCGCTGCCTCGCGGTTCCCTCGGGGCCGCCCCACCCACACGGCGCCCCGCGCCCGCCGCGAGCCCTCGGGCGGAGCGGGCCGTGCCCGGCTGCGGCTCCGGGACGACGGCTGCTTCGCGCCCGGGAGAGGCCGCGACCGAGCGCCCCGTCGGCCCCAGCCGCCGTGCGAGGTAACGGTACTGGGGCGATGCTCAGAGCGAGACGCGCCTCGCGCGGCTGCGGTGCATCATTTCACCGCACAACACGTTCTCCCTCGCGACCGCTGCGATGCCGAGGGGCACCGCTCTGCCCCGCGGGAGCTCGCGCCGCCGCCCCGTCCCGCGCACTCACCTCAGCCGCCGCGCGGCCCGGCCACGGCAGGGCGAGCAGCAGCAGCAGCGCCAGGCGCGGCGGGCAGCCCCCGCCCGCCATCCCGCTGCTGGCGCGGCGTCCCGCGGAGCTCGGCCCCGCACCCGAACTCCGGCCCCGGCCCGCCCGCGGCTTTTGGCCCCGGGGCTGCCGCCTCGCACCCTCCTCGCCGCTCCCCGCTCCCTGGGGTGGGGACGGGCACGGGGCTGGCCGGGGCGGGGCCGTTCGGGCCGCCCCTCTCCTGCCCCTCCACCCCCGCCCCGCGTGTCTCCAGCCCGGGGCACCGCGGGCAGCCGTCGTCCGTCCGTCCGCCCGCCCTGAGCGGGCGCAGCGCGAGCGAGGAGCCCGGGGCTTCCCCGCCTGGAACTGAGGTGAGCGGCGGAGGGGCGGCCCTACCTGAGGCCGTCCCGCCTGGCCGCGGCACCCCGCAGCGCCGGGCAGCGCGCCGAGCAGTCAGCTTGCCGCGGGGCACGGCGGGCGGCTCGGGGCACCGCGCCTCGTCTCCCCTCCTCGCTTCGCCGTGGCGCAGCCGTGGCGGCGGGCGCGGGACCGGAGCGGGGTCGCCGTAGCGCCCCGCAGGGGAGGGCAGGTGGCAGCGGGGCAGGAGCGCGGGCGGAGGGGAAAGCGCGAAGCGGAGCGGCGGCACCGCGGGACTCGGCGCCGCGCCCGGGCACCGCCGCCGGCCGCTGCTGCTGCCCTGCGGGAGTGTTCGCCCTCCGACGGCGCTGCCGCCTTCCTCCGTGAGGAAGTGCTGCTGGTGAGGCGGCTAACGAGAGAAATACGCTGCATGAACGTGAGCCAGTGAGAAGTGTTTCTTCCCGGGCTTTCTCTTACAGTAATGGAAAGGTTTTCTCAATTGATAAGTGATTTGTAGAGTGTTGGCAAGATGGAAACTTTATCATATTTTAAATATTGACAAAAATGCTGCGTGTACAATGTGGCATCCGACCTGAGTGCTGTTCAGAGATAGCGAACTAGAGAAGAGCTGGCAAGGCCACAGCCATCACACTTACTTGTGGTGTTCTTGAGTACTGTACAGGGCATCCTGCATCAGAGGCCTCAAAAAGCACTGCAAGCGATACATAAAAGCCTCGCTATATAACAGTAGGTACATAAAAGTTGATTAGGACTACTGGTGAGATAGAAATCCAGAGTCTTTCAGGAGCACAAAGCGTCCACTAAGTTCTGCAGAACAGCTGCTTGTGTGGGCATGAGGGCAGCAGAACCAGATCTCCATTCAGAGAAGGTACTGTCAGCCTCTGTGAAGTCTGCCATGAAAGCCAGTTATTGAAGCTGCTTCTCCCAAGAGTTTGAGACTAGCAGCAGAAATGTGTCTCTGCTGCTGGTGCTGGAGGAACAGAGCAGAATGCCAGAGACCTTGTGCATCACAACAGATGCAGTTACCTTCATTCTCAAATCCCAAGCATAGTGAGAGCAAGCTGGCAGGTACAGATAAACTGGGAGGAAAAAATAAGATGTTTTGCAAGCCAGATAGGTGGTGAACACAGTGAGAAAATCATATATCAGGGAAGGAATTAGTAAATTTTCCCATTTTTATATGTGAGATTACTAAACCTGTCAACTGTGCTATGCTTTTCATGCAGGAATGTTATATGGAAATAGGTTAAGAAAAAAAAAAAAGAAAGAAAAAAAAAAACGTCGTAAGGATAAAAATGTGGCCTGGACTTGTTCATAAGCCAAAGGCACCTCCGCTTTACAAATGCCTGAATATATCACTTTACATTTAACCTGGTATTAGTCAGAGAAGGTAGTATAGAGTCTCACAGAAGTCAGAAGATACGATGTTGTCTGGGACAGAAAGGTCAGGGAAAAGCAAATGAGAGGACAGTGGAAGAGAGCTGTCAGTACTCAGAAATAGCACAAGTTCATGCACAGGATGAGCAGTGTAGGTCTGGTTAAAGAGGAGAGGGAGGCTCTTGAATACAAGGAAAAAAGAATTGGAAGAAACAGAAGTAGAAGAAAGCAGAAAAAACATTATGAAAAGAAATACATAAATATATGCAGAGGATCTAGTGAATGAAATTTCGCCATAATACAAAGCTACTGAGTCAGTTTTTAAATGGTGAAAATCCATGTGGAAACTTCTGAAAAATAAGTCAGCTTTCAAGTGAAAATGGGAAAATGCTCACAAGGGAGCTGAGGTCGTATCTCATCAGAGTCCATAACTATAAAATTGTCTTCCTTCTTGGTTGTTTTCTGGAGACTAAAAAATCACAGTTACATTACAGTGCAAGCTTTCTCCATCTTCCCTTGCCCCAGGTTTTTGAGAATTACATGAGTTGGGTTTTGGTGACACTTGCATATCACACTTTGGGGTTCCAGATAGAAAACTGGAGCACAGAAAGAGAGTACGAATTTAGCAGATGAATGGAGAGCTGCTCAGTACATGTAGAGTGTAATCTTGCAGCACGGACTGGTTGCCTTAGGCTGTTCATTCATTAGTTAGTGCCTGGTTGTTTACAAAATCTCTTTTTCATACTATGGGATGTGGATATACTGTGCATACACATAGGAGTCCATATTATCCACAGATTAGTTCTAGTTAGAGAGCTGTTACACTGAATTATAGAAAGCAAGAAAGTAATGTTTCAGTATTTGCAAACTCACTGCTTTTACAAAGAACATACAGCTATTGAGCAGCTAAAAGAGAGCAGCCTCTTGTTGCAGGTTCAGATCCTTGCTCCCTTCTCAGTAACTGATTGCCTTTTCTTACTCAGGGGACTTCTCCAAAGGAAGTGTCTGTTTAGGCAGTGTTCAATGTCCTCAAAATTAACCTCCCCAGATTTAGAAGACAGCTCCGAAAAAAGACTGAAAATCGGTGGGACCATAGGAAAAGCCCAGCCTCTCACATACAGATGCCTACTCCAGCCCAATTTGCAGAAGATACTGCTAAATCTGGTCATGAAAGTGCAGACAATATATATAGAAATATATACACTTTTGAAGTTCATTAGATCCTTGTGGAAATGTGTCACATCTTATTTCTAAAGTTTTTAGCAGAATCAGTGGGTATGAGTGTTTTTTAAAAAATAATTATGCAGGATGCTTTTTGTTCATTACTATGGAAGAAGACTTACTTTTTTTCTGGAGTGAAATCTTGTACCCTTCCCTTGTTGATCTGTATATGGATCTCTCAAAATAAATGGATAGCTGATAAAAGGCTGCTTGTAAAGGGACAGTATAATGTAGTGACAATATAAAGCTGTGCATTCTGATATATTTAAATGAGTGACATATTTTGGTTTTCCAGTAATTTTTTGTGTAAAATTGGATATCAGCTATATATGTGAAACAGGTTCAGAGGAGAAAACAACAACAGAATGGAGTGGTGTCTATAGACCATTCACAAACAGAAGAAAACAGGAGAGCTGCTGGTTTGTTTATAAAACAGAGAAAAAAGTGCTGCATGTCCATCAATCAGTGTAAATGGCGTTAACAAAGGATTCATTTGAACGAATTAAGTGGCTTATCAGAACTGCCTGGTAAGTTTTACAGATCACTAAAATCTTTAACTAGAATCACTATGATACATTCTTAGCTGTCAATTGAACAGTAATCACCAGTTAAATGATCTGTAGTCTGTCATAAACTTGATAAGCATATCAGGTAATTTACTGTATTAGATTTTTATTTGTGTGTAAATTGAGACCGTTTAAATTTCAGGTACTACGCTATTTAAACAGTAGAAAACAGGAACTCTAATTCTGAATCTGTTTTAGAAGGAAAGATGTTCCTATAATCAAATAATAACTTATTTGTAGAAGTGAAAATGATGTCAAACTCATACTCATGCCTGCCCCAGAATCATTTTGCATCGCTTACTCATCTCTATTTGTTAATACTCAGTCCCATGCATCTAAAAGGATAAAATTACATAGGGTGCATTGACCATTTTGTGATGATGCACTTCCTTTAAAAATACACGTTTACCAAATAATCACCCCAACCATGTGTATACACTTTCTATTTTCAGAGGTAACGTTTTTGTGAAGGTTGGATATTGGAAATTTAGTTGTAAACTAGCTTTCTCCATCTCTTAAATCAGGTGGCTGCTGATCGTTTTTTCAGCACAAGAAATTGATGGGGTAAGTGACAATTTATACTTTGAACAGTTGGTAAATAAGCTGGTATAGTTAAAAGAATACTGTATACACCAAAATGACCTACAGCTCTGTGGGAAAATGGTGATGTTTCTTTCAGTATTTCTGCAATTCTCTCCTTTAGATTTCTCAGCTTAACTATTTTGTGATTTTCTCCTTTTATTCTCCTACATTCTAACTTTGGCATCTTTAAGTGCTTTTTAAAAGCTGCATTTGAAAAAACATTGCAATGTGCTGATTCTGTATCCTTTCCCATCAAGTCACTTTAGTGGCCTACATTGTCAGAATAATAGAATAGTTTGGGTTGGAAGGGATCTTAAAGACCATCTAGTTCCAACCCCATGCCATTTGCAGGGTTGCCACAGCCCCATCCAACCTGGCCTTGAACACCTCCAGGGATGGGGCATCCACAGCTTTTCTGAGCAGATGGTTCCAGTACCTTACCACTCTCTGAGTAAAGAATTTCTGCCTGAGATCTTGCCTAAATTTTCCCTCTTTTTAAGAGCTGCTCTCCCCTCTTGTTTCTAAGCTCTCTTCAAGTATTGGAAGGCTAAAACAAGGTTTCCCCAGAGCCTTCTCTTCTCCAAGCTAAACAAGCCCACCTCCCTCAGTGTCTTCCTAAGAGAGTCGCTCCAGACCTGCGATAATCTTCACAGCCCTATAGCGTGTATCGTGCTTATTCTGTATGCTACAACTGACCTCTATCCATCTGTACTTTCCACCTCTTTGAAGTAAAAACTTCACATATAATACAGTCTTAATATCTACCATATTTTCCTCTCTGTACTGTATTTACCTCATCTTTGTAATGCCCTCAGTGAAACTTTTTTGAGTTCCTCCTCTTTGTTTCCTGCAAATAAATATTAAAAACTTTTCTTGTTTATTTTTTTTTTTTTTCTAGTCACCCTTTTTTGGTTTAAATATTAAGATAGAATTATTTTT